CACTGCAGAGGGGTCAGTGGCCCAAGAGGCCCTGGGGGCTGGAGGAGCTGTGATTCCTGAGCCCCAGGGAGAACAAGTAAGCCCGGGCCTAAGGGGCAGGGAAGCAAGTCCCCCACCTGTGCCTGAGCCCTCGCACCTGCAGGAAGGTCTGCTCATCCACCTGCTCCAGAAGCTCCCGGATCCTGCAGCCATGGCGAGCCACAGCCTCCAAGTGGCCCCGCAGCCGCTGCTCCTCATCTCGAGCCTGTGCCAGCACCCGCGTCTTGGCCACGTCGATGCTCCTCAGTGCTGCTGTGTGCTGCATTTCCAGGGCCTGTAGCAGGCTGCTGAACTTGCCGGAGACCCAGGAGGCCAAGATGCAGGCTGAGTTCTGGGTGGGAACAGGAGGGGCTTCAGGGTGGCCAGGGCCCTGTGCCATACCAAGGCAGGCTAGGGCTAGGGCTGCCCGCTGGGCTGAGGGTCAGGGATGTTGGGAGGCAGGGTCCTGGGAACCTCCCCAGGACCCCTGTGCCCAGCTCCCTGCTCAGCCACACTCCCTGCTGCCCGGTGTTCCAGGGACCAGCTGGTGACCGCCCCCAGGATGCAGTGTGAGGCCATGGTGGGCGGGCAGGCACAGCCCTCATACCTGGATCTGGCTTCTTTGCTTCTGCAGCTCTAGTAGCTGGCCTTCGGCCTGGGTGGCCTGCTGCTGGGTAACCTCCAGGCTGGCTCTCAGCTGGGCCTGTGGTGGCCGCCCATGGGACAAGCAACAAGAGAGGGCCAGGATTGGCTGTGACATCCTTTCTCAGACAACCAACCATGCCTGCAGACACCAGGCAGCCCCTCCCCACGCCACCCAGGCCAGCCTCCGGAGCACAGGCCTCACTCTAACCCAGGGAGAGTCGGGGGCCGTGCCCCGGCGGGTCCGGACAAAGTCTTTCATAACCTGTAGCAGGGTGGTACCTGAGCAGAGCAGAACCCTTGGGCTCAGGACCCAACTTCCATTGCCATTTGTACCTCTTGCATGCTGAGCAAGCTGAGGCAAAGCACCTGCCCTCTCTGGACCTAACCCCCTACCCATCAATACATGAAAGTGATAATGCTGGTTCAGGCCTTGCAGGGATGACCCCAAATACTAAAGCTGTTGGTCCCTGTCTCACTGCAGAGGGGTCAGTGGTCCAGGAGGCCCTGGGGCTTAAGAAGCTGACTGCAGGGACCGCCCAAAGCACCAAAGCTGTCTGAGAAGTGGGCAGTTATTTGCATGGATAAACTAGATTCTTCTGGGGATCCGGCCAGTCCCTGGCCCTAGCTTTGAGCCTGAGGGGGGAGGAAGGGATCCTTATTTGGTTATGCTCCCTGAGTCCCTTGGGAATCAAAACACCACGCTCTCATGAGAGCGGGACGAACCATGCAGGTCCCGGGGGGCCCATTCCCAGCAACTGGTCAAAAGCTTCACCATCTTGTTTCCGCTTTTCCCACAATGCACTGAGATGGGGACTGTTACTATCCCCACATCACAGAGGAGGAAACAGCTCAGAGAGGTTGACAATTTGGTCAACGTCCTCAGATCTTCCTAAGCCCAGAGCTCCGCCAGGCCCCCAGCCTCCAGCATTTAACACAGGAACACAGGAGGCAGGAAGGCAGGCTCTCCCAGGGTACCCGCCCTCCCCCAGGGACAGGCACCCCCATGTCCCTTTCCCTCTCTCTTGCAAAATCCTGGCTCCCCTGGTGCTACTGGCTGCCCCTGTTGCTCCCTTCCTCCACATGGCCCTCTACTGGCCTCCAACTCAAACTTCCATGCCTAGCTCAGTCTTCTGCACCCACTGTTGAGCAGTACATCTTGTCTCATCCTACTCGGCCGCTTCAGCAGCTACAAGGAATGTCCCGCAACACTCTGGAGCCCTTTTCCTTCACCTCATCTCAGCGCTCCTGTGAACTCACCCTGGCCCTGTCACCAGCTCTAAAATCTCCATTCTAGGCACCCATTCTTCCTTCTCTGACCACCACCTTCCTGCCCTCTCCTGTTCCAGCCACCTCTGTCCCAGTCCTCCCACCTCGCTGACCCCCAGCCGTGCATCCCCCCAAACCCTCCCTGCCCATCAGGCCTCCTGGCCACCCCTTCCCTTCTTGTCCCATCCAGCGTCCCTGCGCCATCCTCCACCCATGCCTTAGCCCCAGCCCTCCTCTGTCCCCAGATGATTCCACGTCCTGTCTTCACTGCTGAAATGGGTTTTGTCAAGGGCCGTGCTGAAGGTCATTTCTGTTCTCGTACTGAACCTCCGATTGGCATGGGCACCCTGCCTGTTCTCTTCCTGACACCTATCTCCAGGTGCCACACAGGGCTGCCGCTCCCCCAACGTTCCCCATCTTCCTGGGAGCTCCAGCTTGGAACCCTCTCTCCCTCCTAGCACTAATGACTCCCAGCTCTCCACTCCTGAGCTTTGGAGCTCACTGCAAGCTCCGCCTCCCGGGTTCACGCCATTCTGCTGCCTCAGCCACCCCAGTAGCTGGGACTACAGGCGCCTGCCACCAGGCCCAGCTAATTTTTTGTATTTTTAGTAGAGACGGGGTTTCACTGTGTTAGCCAGGATGGTCTCATTCTCCTGACCTCGTGATCCGCCCACCTCGGCTCCCGAAGTGCTGGGAT